GCTCCACCAGGCAAACCTCTAAGCTGTTTGTCTCATACGCTGCACCCCGTGTGGGAACCCCAATCACTGCCCAACGTCTATCCAAGTGGATCGTAGGTCTGATAGAACTCTGTTACCTACTAGCGAAACAGCCGTTGCCAGGCCCGGTATGGGCTCATTCCACCAGGGCTGTCGCTACATCCACTGTGTTCCTGAAGGGAGTACAGCTGCAAGACATTTGCAGAGCCGCAACCTGTGCCACGCCTACTACCTTTATCAGGCACTACGCCCTAGACGTCCGAAAGACCATCAATACCAACATGGGACGTCAAATTTTGTCTTCAGCTACGCAGTGATCATCCTGACAGCACCCGCCTCCAGGTAGGCTACTGCTCGCTAATCTCCCATTGGTGTGAAGCACAGAGACCACAAAGAAGATAAACAGGTTGCTTACCAGTAACTGGTGATCTTCGAGTGGTCATCTGTGCATTCACACCACCCGCCCTCCTGCCCCGCTGCTGTCTTCTTTTACCTGTTTTCTTAGGAGATTGATACGGTTGGTAGGAACTGGCGGGATGTCCGTGCCTGCCCTTCTGGGCATGCTCACTGGGGCTCCTGAGCATGCTCAGTTGGGCCAGGCACGAAAATCCTTTTAAGAGAGCTTGCTAGGCACCGGCAGATCCAGCGCAGGCGCACTAGATCCCATTGGTGTGAATGCACAGATTACCACCCGAAGATCACCAGTTACTGGTAAGCAACCTGTTTTTATCTTACCCGTTTGGTGTAGTGGTTAAGTGCACGGACTCTAATCTGGGAGAACTGGGTTTGATTCCCCACTTCTCCACTTACACCTGCTGGATGACCTTGGGCAAGCCATAGTTCTGGCACAACTGTTCTCGAAAAAGAGCAGTCTCTGTCAGAGCTCTCTCAGACCCACCTACCTCACAGGTGTCTGTTGTGGGGAGGGGAAGGGAAAGGAGTGTGTAAGCTGCTCTGAGACTCCCTTGGGTAGTGAAGGGCGGGGTATAAATGCAATCTGTTCTCTTCTTCTCTTCTCTACCCTTAAAAAAAACCACTCAGTTAATTATGCATCCTATAGAAATCTTTCCCCCCCAATATAATTTTTTCAGTTTTCAAAATTCCAATAACAAGTAAAAACAATAGTTTACAGGATAAGTGTACATAAACTTAACAGCATAAAAGAGCATTTTTCATAAGCTTAGTGTTGACATCAACATTCACCACAAATGAAAAGTGATCTTAATGCTTCATCAGAGTTGCAGATAGGTGCAGCAAAGCTAAACAGGAGTCTTACACCTTTTTTTGTCATAAATCTTTATTGCTTTAATCAAAAACACATATCCAGCTATGTAGTGCTCATTATAAGAAAAGCTTCCAACGGCATTGTATCAATTTATCAAACAAAACTCTTAAGCCTAACATTCCACCTTTAAGTTCTTCCATTTATACAACTTGATCCAATTATTTTCAAAACAAGATTGATCTTTCCCTTTTAGCAAAATTGTTAATTTATCCATTTCAGCAACATTAAACATTTTTTGTAAAAATTCTGCCCAGTCTGGAATGTTGTCTGTTTTCCAATATTTGGCATAAAGGATTCTGGCAGCGGTTACACTATGAATCAACAAAGTTCTGTCTACATTTTGATATACTTCTGGTATCATTTCTGGTTTTAATGGTATTTGGATTTTCAACAATTTCCTGTAGTTGTTTTTTAATCATCAGCTAATATTCCTTTGCTTTGCTACTTTGAAAAGAAAGAAAAAAAAAAGCAAAGGAGTCTTACACCTTGAAGACTAACAAGTTTCTATGCTATGTAAATGTGTGTGAACTAAAGCCTGATTGGTACAGTGGTCTCTAGTCCATGAAAGCTTATTCTAGAATAAAAACAGCTGGTCTTTAAGGTCAGAACTGCAAGCTCTTTCTAAAATTATCATCAGCATTGGCTTTATATTTCCATTGTAATATATTCAGTAGTAGTGAGGGGTTTTGACCCTTTTTTACTTTGATTTGTTCTAAACAATGAACTAGTATAAATGCTGCCGTGAATAAGCCTTAACAGAGGATGAAATGAAGGAGTGAATACATGAATAAGGGTGATTCAGACAGGAGGATTAGAAAAATGCACGCTTTTAAATTCGAGTCGTTTTTCAAAAACCTGGCTGCTTTTCATATCATATTATGATCTTGTCAAAGGCAATGCTGGGGTATTATTGCTCTGTTTGCAAGAGCAGCCAGAGGTTGCACAAGCGTACATTAAAGTGTGGTGAATTAGAATATTTAAGAGCGTGACCATTGTCATTCCCATGACTGCAGTTTGAAAGGGAGCAAATCTCAAGTATAAAATAAGTGGGTTAGGTTTAATGATCCATGGACTCAAGGACTGTGGATCTTTCCCTGATTCCTCTTCCAACAATAGTCTTTTCCATCCCCAGAAAACTGGGGAGGGGAAAGGAGGTAAAATTACCCTCTTCAACCCCTTCTGTTCAGAAGAAGTAGGAAGGGTGATTTCATCCCATTCACCCTCTCCTCTGCTGCTTCCTGACCCACATGGCTGTTAGTTCACATAGATTCTGCAACCCAGGAATAAGTTTTTCCAGGGTTGGAAAGAACCACTGGAGGGAGAAAAACATGGGAAAGATCTTACTTCGATGACTCGGTGGATCTAATTTTGTGTGTACAAGAAGACATAATTTTAACTCAGACATTCAAATAAAGAACTTAACTATGGTTGAAGCCCAATGCTTTTCACTACTTAATTTAATATTGCATTCCATTTACAGTATTCAGACCTGTATTTCTGCACACAATGGACCTAGTTTGCACTGTACTACGTATTATGCAATGTGGTACCCTTAGAACCTCTGCTTAATGGAACTTTTTCATAATTTATAAAGCATGCCAAGATGTGGCTGTGGAAATCCGTGGCAAGATTGAGGAATTCAAACCATACATACCCCTTATTCAAGGCCTGCGTAATCCTGGTATGCGCAACCGACATTGGGAGATGCTTTCAGATGAGATCAAAATCAACGTGAAGCCCAAGGCCAATTTGACATTTGCACGCTGCCTGGACATGAAGCTTCAGGATCACATTGAAGTCATAGCCAAAATAGCTGAGATTGCTGGGAAAGAATACTCCATTGAGCATGTGAGGAGAACATTCCATCAGACTTTCCTTGCAATTTAATTGTTTAAATGTTTCATCAAGCGTATTGACCTATGCTAGGAGATTAGATACTTCTTAATTTGGCATGATACTGGGACAATATATATAAAATACTCTATTATATATAATATTAGATTACCTTGACAAATTTTTCTTGGAGCTAGCCTCCTCAAACATATAGAAGGTAGACAGCATATTAGAACTACTAATACTAATAAACCCAGAACTGGATGGCCCAGACTAGCCCAGTCTCATCAGATCTCAGAAGCTAAGCAGGGTCAGTTCTGGGGAGTACTTGCATGGGAGACCACCAAGAAATTCCTGGGTTGCAGTGCGGAGGAAGACAATGGCAAACCGTTTCTGAACATCTCTTGCCTTGAAAACCCTGTGGGGTCACCATAAGTCGGCTGCAGCAGAACTCTACACATACAGTACTGATCAGGCAGGGTGGAGATATTTTAAATAAATAATGCTAGTCTACAGAAGTGTAGATTTGAATTTCATTTTTCATAGTGAATATGTTTAATGAATTTATACCAGTGATCCACAGACCAATGTATGAGAGAATTCTACATTACTGGCTCTGGTTCTGTCCTTACGATTTTAATTGGTGTGGTGGATTTCCCTCTACAAGGCTGAGGATACCTTTTTCAAACAGTGCAATCCTGTGCAAAAGTACTCCAGTCTAACACCATTGATTTAGGGATGCCAGCCTCCAGGTGGGTCCTGGAGATCCCCTGTAATTACAACTCATCTCCAGACTACAGAGATCAGTTCCCCTGGAGAAAATTGATGCTTTGGAGGGTGACTCTCTGGCACTGTACCCCTCTGAGGTCCCTGTCTTCTCCAGGCTCCACCCCCAAATTTCCAGGAGTTTCCCAACCTGGAGCTGGCAACCCTACCCCCCACACTACTCGCTGGTGGCCAGGGGGACCTACATTGATTTCAGTTAGCTTCAACTAGACTATCTCTGCACAGTCTGTACCAAACAGAAGGGTTTTGCTCCCCTGGTCCCTGAAGAGGAGACCTGGCCCCATTCGTTATCAGACATCACCATGCTATAACGAAAAGTAGGCCAAGGCCATTCTTAACTCACAGGATATTTGATCACAGATGTACAAAATCAAGTCATTTCTCAGTATCTGCTGAGTCAGCTGGCAATCTAAATTTAATTATTGTATAAATAAAATGGTGTCTTCCGCCCATTAAGGCCTTTCAGTAGCATGTCAACGGCTATTAGCTGTTTACAAACATATGGAACCTCCATATTCAGAGGCAATATGCCATTGAACTTAGAGTTGCTGCTGGGCAACAGCAGAGGACCTCCACTGCCTTCTTGTCCTGCTTGTGGACTCCCTAGAAGTGTCAGGCTAGCCCTGGTGAAGAACTAGGACTGCAGAAAAAGCCCTGCTGGGTCAAATAAAAAATCCCCCTTCCTCTGCATTCAGGGAGTACTGTTATATCACATTTCAATTCTTTACTATGGCCAGATTGATGCTAACTGTACCAGGTTTTCATTTCCAATTTCATTTCCCCCAACCAGCAATTGCAATGAGTAAAGATTATATCTGTACTTCTGCAAAAATTCCTACAACTGTTCATCCTTCTCATTTCTTCTCCCAGAGAAACTTCTTGGGTGATTTCCCACAAGCGCTGCTCCGCGCTCACTCCTCCCTTTTGCCCCATTGGTACGTGTCAATTTCACACAAGCTGCTGCGTGGCCGCATTTTGCCCTGCAGCTTTGCGCGATTTCCCCCGCGTCTACTCAATCCTCAAAAAACAGGATTGAATAGACACGGGGAAAATCACGTGAAGCTGCAGGGCAAAATGTGGGTGCAGCAGCTTGTGTGAAATTGACACGTACCATCGGGGCAAAGGGAAGAGTGAGTGCAGAGCAGCGCTTGTGGGAAATCACCCCAAGTCTTACCCTAACTTTTTTTGGTGGTTTTGAAAGCCCTGGTCATGGCTTCATGCCTGACTGACCCCATCACTTTCCTATACATTGACTGTTGCCCTGTGTGTATGTGTTTGTATGCGCGTGCACACACACAAAGTTTTGTGTGCCTGAGGAGAATTTACTCACTTTATTCTTCTCCCCTTTGGCACCGCTCTAAAAGGAAATCCCTCCAATCAATAACTTGTGAGTGCTTGTCTTCCCCTCATGTTCCCTGCAAGTGCCAGAAAACGTTTCCCTCCTGCCAGTTCAAATGCAACAAAGCTTGAACAGCTGATGAATCTGTATAGGAAAGTGGTGATAAAAATGGAGGGAAACCATTCAAACCACTCAGTGTTATAAACAAGGTCCAGGCAGTGGACAAGGGAGTCAGAACAATGAAGAAACAGTAAGAAAGGAGGATGTGATTAGAACACATAGGCCCAGTCTACATCTAGCATTTGCTCTGCTGTTATACCAAACCCACAGTGGAACAGAAATTCCCATCTACATTGCATGCCACTTTCACTTTGATTGAGTATCGCATTTTATGGCAGTGTCCAGATTGCATGCTGCTTTCACTTTGTTTGATCTCTGGTTTTATTGTGGCTGTCTGCATAGATTTATGGCTGTTTTATGGCCATGGGGGGGGGGTGACTCTGCAGGCAGTACCGTGTTGGCCCCGGGGTACTAGAATGTGGTTTTGAACTGCATATTTTTCTGTTCCAGTGTGGGTTTGGTAAAACAACTGAGCAAATGCTAAATACAGACTGGGCCTTAGACACAAAAGAGAGGACCATGGTAGGTAGCCCCAGACATAAGTGCACTCAGGGCAGAAATACATGTTAGTGTTGGGACCCGACTCAGGTTCCTCACAATCACACAGCAGCAGCTGGGAATGGCCTCTAAAAAAAAGAAAAAAGCTGGGAATGGGCTCAGAATGCTGTTGTTGGGGGAGGAAGGGCTCCTGCCCCCGCCCAAGCTGTTTTCCCATGTGGAAACAGTGCTGAGGGGGAGTTATTGCCCCATTTTGCTGTTCCATGTGCACAGAATGCTCCATGTAGGCCCAACTGTTTAAGAACACTAATGTGTAGTTTGACCCTCAGTGAACCTGCAGGGTAGCAGCTCATGCCGTGCTGAGTCTGCATTGAGGGCTATGCTGCAGGCCAGGGTCATCTGGCGGAGTACGACTCCCCAACAAGGCGTTGTAATGAATTTTCTAGGAACTGTGGCTACCTGGTGCTAGGGTTTGAGAAGTACTGACCTAACCAAAAAAAAAAAGAGCTTCTGGTAGAAAGCAGTTTCCATTTCCAAGATTTCTGTCTTTCTGCCATCAGTTAACCATTTTATTATCCCCACTAATTGCAAATTTTGAGGTGGCAAATGTTTTGCAATGTACGTATAAAGACATGATGGCGTCTCATTTTCTAGGCCTTGGATAAAATGGAACATGAATGGGAATCTATCCTCTTCAATATTCTTCCCTACAAAGAAACAGGAACATTTATTATGAAGAGCCCTGATGAGGCTTCTCAACTTTTAGATGATCATATTGTCATGACTCAAAGTATGTCCTTCTCACCATTCAAGAAGCCCTTTGAGGACAGGATCAACACATGGGAAAATAAATTGAAGATGACACAGGTACTTTCAACTTGTCTTTGTGTTCTCATATAGGAATCTAACAAAGTGGATAAATGCCAAAAAGTAGCTATGAGGATGTCAGTATGCTGGTGATGCCTCTGTGTATGTATTCCTCTTAGCGTACACAGAGATCTGGCCTTGCTTATTGGGAAGTCTCTGTACACATTATAGATTCCTAGAGCTTTGTTTTAGATTCTGTGACTGTACTGAGAATAGAACTGTCAGGGTTGATTTCTTCTGACAATTTAAACACAGGTGTCCATCCCATAAACATTTGCCAGTTGGAATCTCTGTATCTAATACCCAAGAGCTGGTCCTTATCTGATAGGCAAATCCATAAAACTGCCAGGTTTGCAGGAATAGAAAATGTTAGTTAAAAACAAAATATCTGTGGGTATCCCCAGAAGTTCGTAGTTTGTGCATGTGCAAACAACCCAAAAATAGTTCAGTTGGCAAAATGGCACACAAAAACATGATGGCCAGCAGGAGCCGCTACCAAGAGGAGGAAGCAAGGAAGAGTGGCAGGATGGAGCTGGCACAGAGGGGGACAAGCCAGAAGTGACCCATGGCTGGTGAGTGGAAGGTGACCTAGAGCTAGCGGTGAGGAGGGGGAACTGGAGCCAGTCAGGAGGTAATGGGATTTCCCCTCTCTCTGAGGCATTGCAGGTCCCCTTGTATAGACAGTGTTCTAAGTACAATTCTTTTATGGCAATTTACATTTCAGTCATACTATTTTCCAGGTTCAACCCTTAGTGCCCAAGTTCCACTATTAAGAGTTGAAGCAGTTCAGGACTCAACAACATGTGACGGTGGGGGAAACCTTCTGTCAGGAATATACTAGCTGCCAAATCATTATAAAGCAGCAGTGGGGTGGCAATTTAAAGAACATTCAGGAAAGGAGGGAGGGAAATACTTAACCCTTTGTCTGCCCTTCCTCCTTTAACTGTATTTCTCCCAGGGAAGCACAGAGACTAGAAGTAATATTCACGGGGAACGTCAAATAAAGTTGCTTCAAGTGGGAAAGCAAGGTTAATTAAAGAAAGTGTTCAGCACTTCCTTCCACCCATGCCTGGTGCTCCTATCCCCACCGCCTGCCCAGTTTCATAAAGATGTGGCATAAACGAGGCTTCTAAAGGAGGAGGCATTTTTTCACACATGTTGCTGTCTAGTAGTATAGTACTCTGTACTTTAAAGATCTATTTTAGTTGACTATGGAAACACATCTTTCACAATGACCTGATATTACTTATGGTCCTGTTATTTGTAATGTACTTTGACAAAGCAGAAAAGGAGGCTTTCATTTTTATATTCTTTTGCTTTATTTATGGGCATTAGCCATCTTTATGATTTCGAACAAGAGTCTGCCAAGTTTTTCTGGCTGTCTCAGGACAACAAGGCGATGGAACCTGAGGCTCTAAGGAATCAGGTGACATGAGAGTCTGGCTTGCAGTTGTGTGATAATTTGTGCAGTGAGTTGAATGTGCAGTTGTGCTTGGCTTTTCCTTCCTATTTTATTTTTCTCATGGAAGACACAGAATTTCCATCTGGTGGCTGTGCTGAGATTTTTAACAGGGAAGAAATGCATCACCAGAAATTATAACACACATTTTCTCTTGTGGTAGTGAAGTATAGGAGGGAAGGGGGAGTGAAATAGTAGAAAGACAGTGATGGGAAATAGTAGAAAGACAGTGATGAGAAATAGTAGAAAGACAGCCTTGGGAAGCAGACTATGTGATAACCCACAATTTTCTGTAACACTGCTACAAGAAATTGTTGTCTGCTGCCACAAGCAATGGGTAAGAGGCAAGGGATTCCATTGCATGTCATCATAGTGACAGTGTTGTAGCCTGCAGTTACATAGCCTAGTCTGAAAGTTGAGGACTGAGGTGCTCCTCATCTTCATCTCAGTCTCAGAAAGTCTCGACACACATTTATTTTTCTGTATGGCTTTCTGACCATCCACACAAGTCTCAGTGCTGCCTGTTTGGAAGAAGACACTTAATTACACACCTGTCTGCCCACGAAATTTGACGAGCAGAGAGAGCAAAGTAATTTCTTAACCTCCAGCCTGACTCTGAGAGATATTGTATACCTGCCAGTACCAACAAGGATGGAGGAGCTCAGAGCAGCTTTAATCAGGTGCCAAGAAAGTGGTGTTTTGAACCTGGCTAAGCCCTGACACTTCAAACAGTAATCTAAACAAACAAACAAACATCAGGGTCATTCTGCAAGTAATTACTTTCTTTAACTCTTCATTGCAATCTCTGTGCAGTTATACGAGTTAAGTGATTGAATATGAGCTAGATCATTTGTAGAGCCTAGCTATTCCACAGCCCAAGGTGAGCAGTGTAATTCTCTGTGAGTTTAATTTCACTGGGAATATGAAAAGTAGACATAAATTGGTTCATAGTTTTCTTTGACACCCCCCCCCCCATTAAAGCTGTACTAGCTCTAGATTGACATCTATAGATTCAAGGGAAACTTGCTTGTTGAAGTATGTTGTAGGAAGTAAGTATGTTGAAGGAATGGCCATTGTGATCTAAGCTAAGAAAAATTGTAAAAATATACCACTATGTCCCACAGTTTTGGTGGGGGCTTTGCTATAGGTACACATCAGAGAGAAACAACTCTATGCCCCAGCTCAAACTTTCAAACTTTCCTCCTTCAATTCATCCTCTTATTGTAGATATATGGAGGGAAGTAACATGTGAACTGGGTGGGAGCTCTAAGTTGTAGCCGCCTTATGATTCCGCTATGAGAGAAGTTGCACAGGAGTGCCTTCTCTTGGATAGCACTTCCCCGATAAAGCTGTGTGGCAGTGTTTTACACAGGAGAATTTTGAATGCATAACCTAAGACAGGAATACAGAAGCAGTAACTTATTCTTAATAGTAACTCACCAATTCTTCAGTATGCATTCTTGAACTGTGAGACACAGAGTCTTCCAGTTTTGAGTATCAATAATCCTTGCCTCAAATGATACATTCCCCTCTAGGTTCTAATATAAACTACAGCTGCAACTGCTGTCTGGAATGATTGGATTCGCATCACCTGCCACTTCTGTAAAAACATATATCACCACAGATTCTCCTACTGCATTTCCAGTAGCCAAGCAATGCTCTTCAAATCTTTCAGGATGCATTAGTATATCCCAAATGACCATCAAAATGTTGCTATTGAAATGCTAATTCCCTTTCATGATGGCCTAGCCAAGAAATGGTAAAATTGTTTCTCATACTAAAGAAACCTGAGTGCTAACCATTATGCCGCTTCTCACTAATATTGAAGGTACTGAAGAATTTAGCAAAGCTTTGATTTCAATGAGATTTAAATGTGGTCTTCCTGAGGATGTGATGAAGGCCCCTGTTGGATGGTTTTTCAGTGCTGCTGCAAAACTGAATTATTTTGTGGGGCTTTAAAAATGTAATTATGTTAAATGAAGCTCAACTGTATCTTTTCCTAGTAGTTTTTTATCTTTTCATTATTATTTTTTTGCTTTGTTCTTTCTGTCATACATGTTTGGATACTGTAAGCTGGATGTGTAACCTTGGAGTTTTCTTGCATGGTATCAAATGGTAGTGTCCAGCCCCCAAATGCACCCCTCCTTTTATCTCACTAGGATATTTACTGTGAAACAGTGGGTGATCATTTGAACTATCATAAAATACACACTAATGCAATTATTCCAAGTGCAGATTTTCCTTTCTCCTATCTTCAGTTTAAGTCCAGAACATAAATATTGAGCTAATTACTCCAGTGCTTGTCCTGATGTGCATGCATTCCTTCTAGGATGTTTTAGAGGAATGGCTGACATGCCAGCGTGCCTGGCTCTATCTAGAGCCCATTTTCAGCTCAGAAGATATCAATAGGCAACTGCCAGTGGAAAGCAAACGATACCAAACCATGGAAAGGATGTGGAGAAAGATCATGAAGAATGCTGAGGAAAACAGAGAGGTGAGGCTACAGCAGTGGTGGCGAACCTATGGCACGGGTGCCAGAGGTGGCACTCAGAGCCCTCTCTTTGGGCACGCGTGCCATCGCCCCAGCCAGGCCCAGACCATCATTAAAGTGTCGAATTCTCTGCCAAATAATTTTAAGTAAATGAAAGAATTTGGGATTGCTTTCCTTACTTTGTTTGGATCATCTTAAGTTAACGTATGAGCTGTTTTTTTCTAAAGTAAAACCTCAGTATTCAGGTTAAATTGCCATGTAGGCACTTTATTTATTTATTTATTTATTTATTTAAACATGTTTACCCCGCCCTCCGCGCAAGCGGGCTCAGGGCGGCTTACAGGGGGCACAAGCCCATACATAAAATCCAGTATAACAATAAAATCATAACAATAACAATAAAGTGCATTCATTATCAAGATGGTCTTAAGTGTTAAGATGGTATCATCCAGCAACCCCATTGGGTACCACTATCCAGTAGGTGGTTCATGCCAACCCCCTGTTCTCATTGCCGTGTAGATCTCATTACCGTATGGGCTACTAAGGGCAATTCCCGATCTCGATGGTATTGCCACCATTGGTGGTGGTGGCAGCGGCGGCCCCTACATGAAAGCCTGGTGGAAGAGCTCCGTCTTACAGGCCCTGCGGAACTGCAT